ATGACTTGAGTTATACAGCATGAGCTCTCACTTAGCAAACAGTAAGATTTTTCAGGCAATAGGAATTACATGACAATCAGAACGCATTTTTGTCTTGATCTATTTTGACTCTTTCAAGCAGTATATGGGAACACTTTTCTCTCAGCCAAATTGGTGGAACTGTCTTTTAAAAAAGAAAGAAGCAAGAGAAGCTTATGAATCTTCATCCAGGAGGAAAAGCTTGAAAAGATACAGTGTAGAATAATGTTTGGACTAGAGCAAAGCTACAGAGTTGCTTGTGTGGCCATCAGAATAAGAATCATGGGAATGTATGCAAGATAAAGATTCTTTGGGTGCTTGTGTATCTCCCATCAAACCTAGCTGCTATGGATTGAATATGGTTTCATTCCTCTGAAACACATGTTGAAGTTTAATCTTCGTTGTGATATACTAAAAGGGTTAAAATTTAATCTGACTTTGTTTAAAGATGGGGCCTTCGGGAAGTAATTAGAATTATGTAAGGATTCAAGAAAACACCCTTACCTACCATCTGTGAGTGCTTATGTATATATGTATAATTTTTGGCTTCAATGAGACAGGATCTTGATATATAGTTCAGATCAGCCTTGAACTCACTCTGTAGTCTAGGCTGGCCTCAAACTCACAGACACCCTCCTGCCTCAGCCTCCTGAGTGCTGGGATTAAAGGCATGTGATACCATGTCTGACTTTAACAATGGTGGTTTTATAAGAAGAGGGGAGAAGTACAGGTGGTACACATGTGCACTCTCCCTTGTCATGTGATGCTCTGTGCTGCCTTGGGAGTCTGCCAGCAAGAAGGCAATCACAGTGTAGTGCTTAACCTTGTACCAGAACTATAACCAAACAAAACTTTATAAGTTGTCCACGCTGGATACTGTATGTAATTACAATAAAGAGGCCAGTCTGAGGTACAAGGTGAGTTCAAGGCCAGCTGGATTGCAGAGCAAAATATTGAATAAAAAAAATTAGCAATAAAATGCAGACTCAGACACTAGCCTTGACACTTTCAGAATTCATACAAGCATTTCCCTAGTTTGTAGTTCTTTGACACAGCCTTAATGATTTATGTCTGTTCTAACATTCTTGGACTCAAGAAAACTTTTTTCCATAAAAACTTTTGGGCAATTATGTTGTTCCCCAGTCTGCTAATATCTATCCCACCTCTTCATTTTACACTAAATTTTGTTTGTCTGAATACTAGGTCAGTTCTCCCTTCTGGTCTTCTTCTCTTTCTCCAGAAGGTAATAATCTTTTTTAGCTAGGGAGTCCCCTTCAAGAGAATATCAAATTATTTTGGGTAAAGCTAAGAGAGCTGTAAGTACATAAGATGTCAAGTTATTTTGGGGAGAATTAAATCCCCTTAGTTGTGTGAACCAACACCCTCCAGTAAGAACCTCAGTGTTGACTCCTCACCCTGATGTTTTGCTCTTTGTGGTGAATGCGTCTGAATCAGAATCCAATTTAGGGCCTCCCCTGGACTGGCCGATTTACATGTTTCAGGGCTTCAGATACAAATCATTAGATATAAAATTAGATAGAGGATGAAATTATCTTTCTGCCAATATCATATATAAAGCCAGCACTTTTTCTCTCAGAACTAGTGGGACAAGTCCTCTTAGTAGTAGTGGTAGGCATAAAAGAAGATTAATCTGGTTTTGAATTTCTTATATGATCTGAATTTTGGGTCATCAGTAGATCTCTTTTGGAATTTTGAAAGTTCTTTAAAATTAACTATTTTTTGAAATTGTTTAATTCCTTCTGACTCCTTTTAGATAATGTAATCTTTCCTCTTTGCCCCAGACTCAGATTTCTGTTTTATTTCTGCCTCTGGATAATTCTCTGAGCATGCATTAGACCCCACTCCATCTCTTTCCTGTTCAGATCCTCCTGTTTAGTATCTGTGTGCTCCAACTGCTATAAGTCCAAGCCTACATGTTAAAAAGTTTGGAGACCTCCAGGGTGAACTGTTAATACGAAATGTGTGTGCTATCCTTCCATTGCTAAGGACATAGAGATCTCCCTGTCTAAGGAGCCTTCAAATACATGGTTCCTTGTCATGGACAGTCACCAATTTCCCCTTTTTAGATGGCCATCTTTACTAACAAGATCTCTCTGCAGCCAAACCCAACTTTTCAAAAATGCTTTGCCTTGATGTTAAAGACTAAACTCTGCATAAAGAATGTTTCCAGACTCTTGCTCAAATGAGGCTTCCAAGGTGGGCATGTGTGGGCAAGGTCCGACAATGTCCAAAACTTCCAGCTTACCCGCAGCTCATTTCATATTGATCTAAGGCATCCTACTTCAGAAGCAAGATCTAATGCTACAGTTTGAATACATGTGTCCTACTAATATTGGTTCGTTGAAAACTAATACCAAATATGATGATAGTTTTGTTTTTTTCTTTGTTTTGGTACCAGGGATCAAACTCACAACCTCATACTTGCTAGGCAAGCGTTTATGCTACTAAGCTAAATCCTCAGCCTGATAATAGTTTAAGAGGTGATGAAGTCATGAGTATTCCAAGTTCCTGAATATGATTAGTGCTTTTTACCAATTTCTTCTGCCCTTCTGGCATGTGAGGAAACAAAGTTCGTCCTTTTCAGAGGATGCTGCAACAAGATGCCATTTGGGAAGCAGAGCTAAACCCTCACAAAATATCTAAACTGATGCCTTGATCTAGGAACTTCACAGCATTTGTACTTTAAAAAATAACGCAGTGCAGCGGGGTGAGGGGGTTCTGGGAATTGAAATCATAGTCTCACCCTTGTCAGGCAGGCTCTGTGCTGCTGAGCTATATCCCCAGTGAAAAATTAATTTCTATTACTGCTAAATGACTCACTCTGTGCTATTTACTTATAGCAGTTAAAATAGACAAAAGCATACAATGTTTATTTTTCTCCTTTTCTTTGTATCAGGCAGCTAATAATTATGTCAGGCTATCCATATCTGGGCACTTTGATACTCTACATAACCCAGTGAGCTTCACAATGACCATAGAAAATGTAATTAATTTTCCGCTGACAAATCTAAAGCATTTCCTTCTCTTTGCTCTTCTTCCCTTGAGAACTTTCCCAGTGGGCACATTTCCCTCAAATCCCAACGGTGGTCATTTACTTTTGTGAGAAATATACCCTGGGACTTGAGTCTTTCTCAAGTGACGCTGGGTATATCTCAGGAAAAAGATATTTGCCGTCCCTTATCCCCTCATCTGTCCTCCATCCCCTTTTTGGGTGGTACGGAGATTGGGCCCAGGGCCTTCCCACTAAGCTACCTCTCCAGCCCATATTTATTAGTTTTGAGACACACTTGAGACAGGACTTGAAACTGCAGTTCTCTTACTTTGGCTTTCCAGCTACTGAATTATATGTATGGACCATCATGCCTGGCTAAGCACTCATAACTGTATTTTCAAGCATTCCATTTGGGTATGTTTCTGCATTTTCTTTTCTCTAAGAGTGACAATATGCTCCATAAATTGATGGGCTGTTATTTATGGGACTTAGGATAGGAAGCTAGAAGATGGTAATAGGAAAAAAAAGAATTTCTGTGGGAAGGGAATACAGAAGGACCCAGCTGAAGTATCAAAGATAGGAAGCTGCCACCTGTGTTGTCACTGATATAACCACCAGTGGCAGTGGAATACATGGGAGTGGCTAGCACCAAGGGACCTTGAAGGCAGGACTAGGTTTGTTTGTACTCAAGACAACATAGAGCTAGAGCACTGTCCCTGAATCTTAGTGTGTAGCTTTCTTTCAGGTGCCTCTCTGGGAAGCTGTGGGAAGACTATACCAGCAAGAAAGTATAATACCCTAGAGGCAGGATGTAGTGGCATAGTGAGCAAAGTGGCTGGAAAGTAGTCAGCATTCTATCCCCTAAGCCATCAGGCCAACTGTTCAACCAAGGAATCCAACCCCACAATATGGTATCTTTAGGATGGAACACATTGTCCTTAGAGGGGCTCTGACCTACTCCCAAGTCTCACATCCTTCTCCTTTCATCTCAGAGTATTCCCTACAACATGCTATGTGTTTGTTCATTATTGTGACCCAGAATCCAAAGCATCTCACTGGATCTGAGATGGCTTACTACTTCCTCAACAGGGATCATATGACAATCATTATCTCACTGATAGGATCAGTGAGAATAATGTGACACAAATATCATATGATCAAAGCATTTTGCTAAAAATTACTTTTTTTTTTGTCTTTTTCATTTTTTTATCGGTACCAGGGATCCAACTCATGACTGCCTGCTTGCAAGGCAGGCGCTTATGCCGCTGAGCTAAATCCTCAGCCCCAACTTACATTTTTTGTATAACGGGCACTAAATTCATGGGCTCATGTTAGGTAATTGCAACATCCCTAGTCCTAAAGTTAGATGTTCACTGGTCTCTAAATTCAAGCAGGGGTTGGATCTGGTAACATAACATGCATGAGTGAGACCCAAAAGTCCAGAGGCTCCTGCTCATTTATAGCATGACACCACCTCCACTACTGGGTGACTGAGTTGTGCACAGTAAAGCCCTACACTGGCATGGATCAAGGCCAGACTGAGGCCTGCAGATCCAGAGAACAGGGAAGAATGGGTACAGGGTCTCAGGTGGGCTAGCAGTGATGGCCCCTCTAAAGAACCCTTTACTTGGTGCTATTTAGGTACTCAATGCAATTCAGGTCCTAAGGATGAAATTTCTGTGCAATGACTCATTAAACAGCCACAGAAATAAACAATGAGGCAACCAATGCCTCAGAGAAAACCAAATGAAATGATAAAACAGTGCCACAAGATCCTGGATTGAACTTTGTGAAGCATTAGACATTTACTGTCTCAATCAGTGATCAGACACTCCTGAGGTCTAAACTAGGGAAGGTGATTTATATACCACAGAGTAAATAAAACAATTTAAACTAAGGTTCTTTTTATTTATGGTCATTTTTTTACAACTGTTCACACAAAGATAACTCCCACACATACCTCCCAAGCCCAAACCTCCCTTGCAGAAATACAAATTTTTATTTCTAACTCTGTGAGATGTATCTTCCTACATCAGCATATGATCCCCAACCATAACAACTTCCCTTTTCCCACTTAATACTGAGATGTTATCTGAAACTAAGGCTTCTCTGTTCTTCTTGGATGCACTTACATTCTGAGCTTTAGTGTCCATGTGCTCAGAATAAAGCTATGAATATGTGTGGCCAGCTAAAGAGGCATGTAACAGGGGCAAAGGATGGGTTCTGGGTCATACAAAGTCTTGTCACCACAATGAGGACAGGGGTTAGCACTGAACCAGACCACAGCTTGCCTCCCTGAATCATTTAACATCTGCTTTAGCGTGGCATGTAGCTGGGCAAGTCTTCCCAGGTGGAGGATGCCTTGGTTGCTATCATAACTCTCTACAGGAGCAGGATACAACACATGGCTTAGCTTGCTCAGTCCAATAGTGCGGAGCAGAAGATTCTGCAGCACAGCCATGGAGATGGAATTCCCACAGAAGGTGAAGGTTGTGAGTTGGGAACACAGGCCCAGAGCAGGCAGGATGGCAATGAACTGGGAGTCTGTAATCCCACACTCATCTAAGTCCAGGTCTTCAAGAGTGGCGGCAGCTCTCTCCAGAAGAACTCGGAGAGGCTCAGGATTCATATCGGTCAGACTGACTCCACACAGGCTCAGGTCCCTTAACTGACTCATGTTGGGACACCGGGATAGATGCATCAGGTCTAACTCTGAAAGTAGGCAGTTAGTTACTGAAAGTGTCTCCAGGGAGCTCTTCAGGCACCTGGGGAAAGACAGAGAAGTTAGTACTTCGAATGGTGGAGAGAGTAGGGATGAGCCAGGCCTTGAGGGTGGAGGGGAGGAAAACCCGAAATCTTTCTGATTATGGCTAATTCCTGGGATGCAACAGTACAAAACAGGTGTTTAGGTAAGTTCAGTGTTAGGTAGAGTCGTTTCTCCTTATTTTGCTGTGTAACTATGTCACATGATTGAAATCTCCAAATCTCCTTTTGCTCTTTTATCAAGCAGAGAACATATACCATAGATGCTGCAAGCATGAATTGAAGATGGCAAGAGCACATGTTCTAAAGAGCCTGACCCTGCGTCTCAAACAAGGAAATACATTACTCAATTTTGGTATCAAAGATACAATTAAAAATGTTTCTAAATTAATAAAAATTAATTTTAGCCAAAGAGCAAAAAAAGTGCTTTCAACTTAGGCTTTTTCCTGGCTACCTGCCTAGGCCCCAGTCACTTGTATCTCTGTGCTGGATGAGGGTACCACAAAACATGCATAAAGAAAACATTGAGCCAACATCAGCAATAGCGTACTGACCAATTTAAAATGTATTATCAGTAAGATACCTATTACTGTTTACCATTCCTCATTCTCACTCTTCTTTCATTTCCATAATCATTGATTTACCACATATCCTCTGAGTTCAAAACAACCCTTTACAGAAAGGAAATCTAAGATATGTTTGGAGGGAGAGACACATGCTAAGAAAATTTGTGACTGCAGAGCTGATGATAAAGTCTAATGTCCAGTAGACTGCATTCTTCAATGCCCTCCTCCCTTAGTTAACCCAGACATCACTTCTCAAAATGTAATTCCTAAACCCAACCTCCCTACACCAAACTCAAATCCCTTTCTTCAGAATTATTGTTACTAGCATCTACCCTAGTTTATGACTTTGTTTGTCACTTCTAAAATTCATGTTGAAATTTAACCTCCATTATCAGATACTAAGAATACTAGGTACAACCTTTAAGAGATGATTACCCAGGCACTGTGTTGCCTGTCTGTAATCCTAGCACTCTGGGAGGCTGAAGCAGGATGTTCAGAGATTTGAACCCAGGCTAGGCAACTTAGGAAAAGACTTTGCCTCAAAGTAAAAATAAAAATATCTGGGGTGTATAGGTTCACTGCAAAGGTCATGGGTTCAATCCCCAGTACCACGGGAAGGGGAAAAAAAGGGTGACTAGAGTTTCCATTTTGTGAATGGATTAATGGTAATCAGCCTTCTCAAGAGTGGATCTGTTAGGGGCTGGGGATTTAGCTCAGATGCATAAGCTTGCAAGCAGGTGGTCGTGAGTTCAATGCCTGGTACAGATTTAAAAAAAAAAAAAGAGTGGATCTGTTATAAGAGCTCATCTGTCTGGGTCCTTGAGCACTCCGTGTCTCTATTCTTAACATCCTGTACCACTTGGGGACATTAATATCAAGAATGTATCACCAGATGCTATCCCTAGATGTCAACCCTATATCAGAACTACTGTGAGCCAAAATAAATCTATATATGTATGTTTTCCAGTCTATGCTACTATATTATTAGCAACAGGAAACAAACTAAGACAACCCTTAACCTTTACTTGAGCACTTATATGATAGTATATTTGGGACAAGACAAAGTGTTGACTTCTAGAGACATTTGACTCTTGTACTACTTGTGCTTGGCACATGGCAGATGCCCACTATTATTGCTAAAATGAAAAAGGCTTGCTGTAGTCTCCAGAGAAATTTCACCACATGCTCACCTGAGCACCTTGTTCAGACGGCCTTTAAGGAAGGAGACAGAGTCTAAATATAGTTCCTGGAGGTGATGAAAGCTGAGGAACTGAGAGGTAAACTGATTGACATAATGCTCCTCTTTCTCTGGGTAACTACAGGGAGTTGTGAGGATGTGGGAAAGGAGAAGTCTGCGCAGATTACGCATTTGGCCCAGGTAAGGAGCAAAATTCCCAAAGGTAGACAGCTTCCAAGTACAATTCACTTCCAAATCCTGGATCGAGTCCAGCTGCACCATTTTCAGTATCATCTTAATATTATGGATGGGCATTGCAAAAATCCTCAGCTTCTTACAGCACAGGTGTAGTAAATCTTTTTTCTGCCTCACTCTTTTCATGAGGGAGGTGAGCAATTCATCATTCCTGTCTTGCTTGAGACACAAGTCTACCAGCACCTTCACAGGAGCAAAGGGCTGCACTGAGTGTGCCTCAAAACCATTCACTTTTGGTTTCTTCTTTATAGGATGTGCAGCCTCTATTTCCATCAGTGACCACACACCTATCTTGGTTCCAGACCATACAGTCCAGAAGTCTTGATGTGCATTGCTGCGTAAATCCAACACCTGCAGTTTCCACCGCCTGAAGGGAAAACAGGTCAGTAATTCAGAATTAAAAGCAGGACACTCAGAATCAGGTGAGGAATAAACATCTGACCTCAACTGTTACTCCCAATACTAGAGCTCAGATTCTCCTTTCACCGCTAGGATCCTTATTTGTTCTTGCTCTCACATCTTCACATGCCACTAAGTAGGAGTGGGTACATGTTAATCCAGTTACCTGTGTGACTTTATCAATCCTTCACGTCTAGAAGCCCATTACCTGAGTGACACCAGCAATGACCTTTGGACCTCCCTGAGCTTCCTCACTGGCACCAACAGAATCCTCTGGCCAATCTTTTGACTGTCTCTACTCTCACCCCAACTGTGCCTTGCTCAGATTCCCAAGGCTCTTTCATGACTGGGTAACCCTCACCTGGGGCGAACCTCTTGAGAAAGTAGCACATCGAGTCCACTGAGTGCAGCTTGAAGTGTCTCATGGTGATGCTGATGATCTGTCATCAGGCCCCCCAGAGGGAGGCAAGCAAAGGGCCAGGCCTGCACCATGGCCTTGAGGATCTTGCTGCATCTCCTAGTATAGGCTGCCATGAAGAGAGGCGGGAAGAGCTCTGCGGGCAGCTCCTCCAGTGCGCCAATGGCCAAGAACTCATTACTCAGCAGGCTCTGCACAGCCAGCTCCAGAAGTCTTGGTGGGGCTGATGTGGTCATCCCGATGAATCTTTTTCAAAAGAAATTCTGAGGAAACAGAGAACAAAGCATCCTTCTCAGGTTGTGTGTAAGCAAACCTATCTTTTCTCCACCCTTCAGAGAAATCATCTCAGTGCCAAAGTCCCTGCTCTGATAAAAGCAAGGAAGTCCTCAGTTTACCCACATTCTACTTTATATTCAGACAGCTTTGTAGCTGTCTCAGAACAAAGTATCTGGCCAACTGTCAAAAAGGTGACAAGATGACTTCTATCTCCCTCTCATATAAGAGAGAGAACCCCATGCTCTATTTAATTCTAGACCCCTAGCCGGGGTGTGGTGGTACATGTGTGTAATCCCAGCACTAGAGGCTGAGGCAGGAGGATCATTGTAAATTTGAGACTAGCCTGGGCTAAAGCAAGCTCAAGGCCAACCTGAACTGTGTAGTGAGATCCTGCCTCAAAAAGATCAAAAAAAAATTTAGATCCTTGGGAAGTAAGTACTGAGAAGCCTGAAAGCTGACTCTGCCCCTTTTAGAAAGGTTTGGTAAGATGAGCATCTAATACCAGAAATGCTTGAGGCCAGAAGTATTAAGGATTTCAGATTTTTAAAAAAATGTTGGAACATCTAGATACACACAATGAGGTATCTAGGGATGTATCTAATGTTTAAACATAAATCTCATTTATTTCATATGTACCTCATAAAATATAGCCTTCAAGAAATTTTATATGTAACATGTACAGTAATTATGTACATGAAACAAAGCTTCCTGGTGCAGAATTTTCCACTTGTGGAATCATCTTAGCTATGAAAAAGTTTTAAATTTTGAAGCATTTTGTATTTAAAATTTTTGGATTCAAGATGCTCACCTGTTTGCCTAAGGATAATGAGAATGGGAATGCCACATGGCCCACCAGAGTCTCCTCCTCTACTTCAACAAATAATAAGCCAGATGAGAAGGATAAGAAACATATGGACAATAGATGCCACATACTACCTTTAAAAGACATTAAATGAGCCATGGCTTTAGCTCAGCGGCACAAGCACCTGCTTGGCAAGTGCAAGGTTGTGAGTTCAATCCCCAGTACAAAAAAAAAAAGACTTTAAATGAGAAAACTTAAAAAACAGTGTAACAGTATTGAATAGAATTTAAAATTTTTCAAGAAAGATAATACATTTTAATGTGTCTCTGTGAAAACTAAACTATGATTTTCTATGACTATCTTATATATCACTATATCACGCAGTACATGGAAACAAATAGTTCATAAGTCTCCACTTTTATTTTTCAAAAGAATTTTTTTGAGACAGGGTCTTATTTCATATTTCAGGCTGCCTTTAAATTTGTGATCCTCCTGCCTCAGCCTCCTACGTGCCAGAATCACAGGTTTGTGCTACCATGCCCAGCTTCAAAGGAATACTTTTAAACAGACAAATAGTATACATCCATGGCATACGATGTTTCAAAATACGTACACATTGGAGAATGGCTAATTCAAACTAACAAATGCACTGCCCCACACACTTACTAATTTGTGGTCAGTACACTTACAAACTCTACTCCCCCAGCAATTCTCAAGTGTATAATACTAAAGTAACATGTTGTATCCTACATTTCTTGAATAAACCTTCATTCCATCCCCTCATTAGAGAAAAAAATCTGAAAACTATTTTGAAAGCTTTTAAAGAGTACCTAATAAAGTCACAAAATCATAAATAATATGAACAGTAACTCCTCATCACACAAATATTCAACAAGTATAACTTTATTAAGAAGATGTCTTTCATTCAAATAAAATTTGTTGGCAAATTATTTTAAATGTCTAAGCTAGGCATGGTAGCACATTCCTGTAATCCCAGCACTTGGGAGCCTGAGGCAGGAGGACTGACTGTTGCAAAGCCAAGACCAGCCTGGGCTACAAAGTGAGCTCAAGGCCAGTCTGAACTGCAGAGACCCTGTCTCAAAGAGACACAAAAAAAGTCTATCAAGTTACATAAACCAAAATAAAATCACAATGTCTGAAATTAAACTGCACTGAAAGGTAAAGAAAATCCCATTCTCTTGTAGAGAAAGAAAAAGCAGACTGGCCCAGTATCCCTGGCTGAACTTCCTGCTTCATCAGACCTAGGTGTCATGCAGGCAGCTGTCTGTCCAGATCTCAGGGAGGACTATGGTAGTAACTAAGATGCTGCAGGATTCCACCTCCCTCGCTGACTCCTCAGAACCTGTAACTGTAACATGCTTTCTGGCATGCTCCTCTCATTTACAGTTCAAAGCTTCCAATGAAAGCAAAATCTTATCACATTACTGGATCTCCACCCAGTGAATCCTGATCTTTTTTAACATTCTGTAGATTCATCAGATCAAATTGCATATGCATTCATTAAACAGACAGAAAAAGAAAACCAACTATAAGTGTAACTGTTGGGGAAAATTTTGCCCACATAAAAATTACCCAAATGTTGGGGTTGGGGATTTAGCTCAGTGGCATAAGCGCCTGCCTTGCAAGCACATGGTCATTGAGTTCGATTCCCGGTATCGATGAAAAAAAAATAACCAAATGTTTAAATCAGTTTTATGACAAGGATGGTATCATCTCAAGAGGGGTTGAAAAATCTTCAAATTAATCCCCAAATATTACACTGTCATTTACAATTTATATTCCCTAACATGTCAAATAAAATGCCTATTCAAGGAGATCTGAGGGCTGGCTAGTCTTTCAGATGCTCAAAGTCAAGGCTATAGAAAACAATCTCGGGCTGGAGGTTTAGCTCAGCGGCATAAGCGCCTGCCTTGCAAGCAGGCAGTCGTGAGTTCAATCCCTGGTACCGATAAAAACGAAAAAGACAAAAAAAAAAAAAAAAAAAGAAAACAATCTCCTGGGGGATCTAGTGATCCTTTTTTCTCTCCAGAGTCAGATCTTACTTTTGCGTTATTTTTGTTTTAATTTTTATTAGTATGTTTGCAATATATAATGTTTACTACATTTCTTGTATGGAGTTGGTAACACTGTTAAAGGAATTAAGATGTATTATATATAAAATGTATTATATTTCCACAAGGAATGTAAACATTATTAGTACACTGTACTAGTGTAATAAATGTACTAATAAAAAGTAAAAAATGAAAAAAGCCCCACAAGGACCAATCCTGAAATTCATATGGGACTAGAAGAGCCCCAAAAGAACAAGTGCAATCCTGGGCAACAAAAGGAAAGGAGAAATATCTCAATCCTGAAAGTAAAGGTTATATTACAAAAGTATAGTTATAAAAACAGCATGTTACTGGCACAAGTGAGGATCAGTGGTACAACATAGGTCATGCACAGTGACTCCAAGCACATTCAGCTATTTCATATATGATAAAGGGCTCAAAAATATACACTAAAGGAAACCAGCCTCCACATGAAGAAGACTGAAGCTACACACCCCTATCTCCCATTGCATCCTAAACTAAAATCAAAATGGATGGAAGATCTAAAATTTTTTTTGTCCTTTTGAGACAGTCTCACTATGCAGTTCAGGCTGGTCTTGAGCTCACTTTGTAGCCCAGGTTGGTCTCGAGCTTGCAACTATCTTCCTGCTTCAGCCTCTCAATCTAAATGTTAAAACAGAAACTATCTGCTATAAAACAAAATAGGTGGGGCTGGGGATTTAGCTCAGTGGCATAAGCGCCTGCCTTGCAAGCAGGCAGTCCTGAGTTCGATAAAAATGAAAAAGACAAAAAAAAAAAAAACCAAAAAAAAAAAAAACAAAATAGGTAACATTCTTGGAGTCACAGGTATATGCAAAGACCCTGAGGAGAGATCCAGTTCCATAGGAAATAGTTCTGAGAATCAATAAATGGGAAAAACCAAATTAAAAAGATTCTTCACAGCAAAAGCACCAACAGATTTAAAAAAAATAACCTATAGAATGGAGAAAAAAACTTTCCAGTGATTGCCTAGATATGAGAACTCCTATCTACCATATATAAAGAACTCAAGAGTATTAGAAACTAAAAATAAAACATTTAATCCAAAACAATGGGTAAGCAAAATGAATAGGTCCATCACAGAAGTAAACAATGGCCAATACATAAATGATCAGCATCATTTATGAGCCATTACAGGTTAATGCATATGCAAATTAAAATAACACTGATTCTATCTCACTCCAGAGGGACTCCTGGGAAGAAATACTTCCCCTTCCTGCATGCCCTTGCTAGAGACAAGAATTCAACCTACTGATGGAGACTCATCCACAGGTCATGGGATTGACTGATTGATTGAGAGTGGGGACTGAACTTATGACCTCACACTTGGCAGAAGCTCACCCACAGGATCTGGAAAGCAGAAGTGCCCAAAGACCCCTCTGTTACCAGTAGCAGAGGCTGAGAAGGCCCTGAGCCATTACCACTGCAGCTTGTTACCTGCACTCTGCTTGGTTGATCCTCCTTGCTCTCTAATCAGGTAAGATACTAAGGAAGAAACTCTAAGGCCAGGGCCCTGACTTCACCTCTCTAAATGACCTCTCCTCTTAAGGTTCTGGGTTTAGTCAGCCCTGGGATAACTACCTTTATTATGAGGAGCTTTTAACACTAAGCCACCAGCTCTTACTTTGGAGGAATCAGTTACATTGAGGGTAATTAAGTATACTGATAGCTGAAATATGAGCACACTACTCTACTCTCAGGTACAATGGTCGTTCTTGAAGTTTGGGTCCCAACTCAATTACTCAGATCCAACTCAGACCATGCGTGGCCCTATCTGGCCTCCTCATGTGGCACCTGAGCTCTAGGTTGTGCAATCTTGTTCACTTTCCAAGAGTGATTCTTAACCCTGTGGTTCATGCCCACAGAAAGTGAAATTAAACCTCCCTAAATTCATGCACTCTACCTACTTGATATCCTGTTATAGGTGGAGGCTTGGTGTTTGATTTCCCTGAAGAAAGGCTTGACTGAATATAACTCTGATTTGGGGAATAACTCCCCCAAACACTGATATAGTTTCTTACAAAACGCAGTAGGACAAATTAAATGCTCTATGAGAAAATGATTTGGAAAAAATAAAGGCTATTCCTGCTTCTGCCCTACTTGGGAGAGCACTCAAGACCCTGATTCCTTTGAACTCCTCAGGGTCAAGGACAGAGAGGACAGACTTCTTTGGTCCAAGATGATTCAATGGACCATCTTACCTGATGATGGCTTCTGTACAAGCTGACCCAACTCAGACAAGCCTTTGGTTCCCCAGTACTTCTCTTCCAGATATTCTACGGCGGCAGTCACTGGTTTCCCCACAGCCTTGAGAGTAATACCAAAAGACTCCAAAAGCAAGAAGACTGTGTTTTAACACATGTACTTATGAATCGACAGCGCCCGCGAATACAGTCGAGAAAACAAACACTTGACCCCACCCTTCTAGCAGAGTTTTACTCTAAACCTCAACACCAGTTTGTCCTCAGCTTAATTTGTGGACAATTTAAATGACAGACCCTGCGCTCAGACAATCACACTGACTCTTCACCTAACAACAATGGCTACTATTCCACCACCAAATGTCTGCTGGCCCTTTGTTCCGTCTGGCATTTTGGCTGAACCACTTATCCCTCTTCCCCCCGTCTCTAGCACGTCGTTTCAAATGAGCCAGCAAAAGAGAGCAAATAGAAAGCCCAAACACTTCTAGTTGTTGTGTCAAAAACTCTGACTGTGGTATCCTGGTCCCTGGGACTAACTGGAGTCCACCTTGCCCCACTTTCTCTTCCTTTCAATGCTGTTGTGGCAACCCACTTTCAAAGGAGAAAGGGAATCAGGGGAGGTGGCCTCGAGGCTAAGGTGACCCTGTGGGAAAACGCAGAAAACAAGAGTTTTAACTTACGTTTTTCCGTCACACCACACAGCACCTCACCACGTGCCCTCCACCCGCGCAGTCAGCGGCTGAATGGAACGAAGCAGCCCGCTGATGCAGCAAATCCCCGCCCATCGCCCTTCGCAAACTGACAAACCAACCAATCAGGGCTTCCCTTTCCAGTTGAACAGCAATCTCGCGAGATTCAATGAGGTCAAGCAGGAAATCCAGAACATTCTTAAAGAGTGGGAGGGGAGGGAGCAGGGAGGAAGTGAGGGGGAGGAGAGGGAGGAAAAAGGGGCGGGCGGGAGGTGGGACGAGTGGTGCCCCTGCCCACTCCCACCAGACCACTCCCACCAGAGAGCCGTGGGCTGGGCATGGAAAAGGAGACAGGAGACGGTTGGTTGTCTGGAGAGCCTAGAGGCAGTTTATTTAGTGGGGTAGCCATTAGAGCAAGGCAGGTTGGCAGGGATAGTAGGATGAAGGGGAGCATTGGGTAGGGATAGGAGGGGCCACAGAGGAGGCGGGAGGTGTTTTGAAGGTTCGGCCAGCGGGGTTGGGGCAGGGCTCTGAGGGACGAATAGGTGGGTGAGAGCAGTGGGGTGGAGTAGGAAGATGGAGGCCATGGCGGGGTGATAAGCGGTAGGGGGCGAAGCAAGAGGAGACTGAAGGAAGGGAGCAGAGTAGGAGGAGGGAAGGGGTTAGCATGAAAGTAGGCGGGTGAGGGGCAACTGGTGGAGTAGGTGGGGTCAAGAGGAAGGCGGAGGGAGGGTGGAGGTGTGGGCGGGAGAGTAGAGGTTCAAGTGAAAAGTTACAAAGGCAAGTGGAGCCTAGCAGGTTTGCTTGGCAGTCCCTTTCTGAAGCCTGAGAGGAAGCAGCCTTAGAAGCTAGGAAGGACCCGGTTCATGGCAGAAACATGCTACACACACCTTACGAAGTAAACTTGCTATCCAGGTTGAGAACCAGAAACAGGCAGAAAGCAGAGAGTGGATCATGTGACACTTCCAAAGCAGAACTTTTGATGTTTGCCTGTTATTGTCATGATCTAATTACTGTCACTCAGCTGTGATCAATATTTCAAAAACCAGCTGAGAAACAAGTGGTGGCACACACTCAGCACTTGAGAGACTGAGACAGGAGGATCCCTGTGAGTTCAAGGCCAGCCTGGACTACATAAGGAAGTTCAAGGCCAGTCTGCACCACATAGCAAGACCTGGAGCGGGTGGACGGGCTGAAGTAGTTGTAAACATTGCAGTATAGGAGAGAAGTGAGTGGTCATAAGCGAAGTGTATCATGGAGGGCCACAGAGATGGATCGCTGGGCAGGAGTCATGAGGCAGGTCGGTTGCAGGACAAGAGGGAAAGAAGAGAAGAGCACAGTGCTATCAGCTGGGACTGGACTTTTTGTGGTGATGGGTGGGATGCAAGAAGGACAGTGGGAGGACAAAGTGCTGAACTTTTGATGCTTTTGGACAACATACACAAAAATACAATAAAATTGATATTTTTTCCAGTTTGAGGTATACTTGATAGATAAAAATCATGTATATTTAAGATGTATGAAATGATTTGGTTTAGGTATACTTTTGGTGTAGGTATCTATATAGATGTAATGAACACTACAATAAAATTAACGTGTGCTTCGACACTGCACTGGGCACGGGAGGGCATCTAGTAAGTTTTTCTTTTTTTTGTACTGGGAATCGGACTCATGACCTCATGCTTTCCAGGCAGGCACTTGTGCTGCTGGCCTAACCTAGCAATTTTTAGATAAATAATGTAGTATTATTATCTGTAGTCACTGCCTTGGTCTGTTTTATGCTTCTATTACAGAATAACTAAAACTGGGTAATACATAAACAATACAAATTTATTTTCTTACAGATTTGGAGGCTGCAAAGTCCAAAAACAAGTAAGTGTCTTCTCTTGATTAATAGATACCAGCCACCTCTTTTTTGGGCACCTGTATGGTGTTGCCTCTTTTTTTAAGCACACTGATTGTATAGGATCAGAGCCTCACCCTTTGATTGTATTTAACCTTGCTTCCACAGAGGCCTCTATTTCACTTATTTTCCTTGTTCCTGAAGCAAAATACCCAACACCTACAAGTTAAAGGAGGAAAGGTTTGTTTCAGTGCACAGTTTGTAGAGGTTTTATCTCATAGTTGGTTGGTTCCAAGGCAGGGCTGCATGCCAGAGGGGCATGGCAGAGGAGTAATAGTCCATGAAAGGGCAAGCAAGAGACCACAAGTCCCCTTTTCCTTCTGTCCCATCTAGGATATAAACCTTTTGGTTGGTGTCACTCACACCCAGGGAGGGACTTCCCATTATCCACACTCAGAACTATGATAAACCAGTTAGTGGACTAGTCCAGTACCACACATGCTAGATCAGGCCACCTGTGAAAAGCCCCACCTATGAGACTTTGGGGACATATCTAGATACAAGCCATAACAGCCTCTAGATACTGGACTTTGACATCTGAAGTTTGAGGGGCAGCTGGTAGTCCATAGCTTTCAGTCTACAAACTAAAAAATTTGCAGTCCTTAACTTGCAATGCAAATAGAAAAATAGTATAGTCTGGAAAAGCAAGAGATATTTTGCACTGAATTAGAGTGGTGGCAAGAGAGATTTTTAAGAAAGAAATTATTGATAAGAAATTATTGACACTGCCTTAGTCTTGTCATGGTGTTAATTTCCTGGTGCTGTTTTGCTTCCTTCTGCTTAGTTGCTAGCTCTACCTGATGCATTCATTTTATTAGGCCTTTTGGTATTGTTAGCTTCATTGTCTCAGATCGCTGTGTGTCATTTATAAATCTTTTCTCTCCAATCAAAAATACCTTTTGTACTGTTCCTGAAGACAGCATCCTCAGCCTATCTTCTGTTCACTTTGAAGTTGGCCGGAGGCTGGGATGGGCCAGCTGTTCATTTTTCTTCTTTTCTGGCCTACCCTTCAGCACTTCCTTTTTAAAAATTTTCCAGTTCTGCAAAGAAGCGCTGTAGTATCATCATCACCACTGTTCTCTTCTAAAACCTTCAACTTTCTCATCTGTTAGATCACCTTCATCAAGGTTAGCAACAAGAATCTGGTCTAACCGAGGTTTCTTTGTATATTCTGGAGTTGAACGATCCCTATTTTTTCTCTTGCAGCAGCTCCCTCTCTCTCTTCCAATTCTCTCCTAAAGAAAATTGGAAAATTCTTTCCAGTTACAAACCTCTTCAGGGGCACTGTGAATAGTCTGTCTCTAGTTTAGCTTTGTATGAGAGAAAAGGTTCCAGCTTGAATATTGCTTTGAGAGTTGGCTCAAATCACCACCTCCTTTTCCTCTTCCACTTCTTACAGTTTCAAAAGTTGGCCTGGCTGCTGCTGTCTTTTTTTTTTTTTTTTTTCTTTTTGAGACAGAGTCTCACTATGCATTTCGGGATGGCCTTGAGCTCACTTTGTAACCCAGGCTGGTTTTGAACTCACAAGGATCCTCCTGCCTCAGCTTCCTGAGTGCTGGAATTATAGGCATGCACCTCCACGCCCAGCTGCTGCTGTTATTTTTATATTCTGGGGGAAAAAGTTATTTCCAATAACTCTCATTCAGTGTATTATTTATCAATATCTATTATTGTGAAAAACACTTTCAAAACTTACTTCACAGAAGTTCTCAGTCTTCTTCAAAAATTCTCAAGAAAACAAAGTATAGCCTCAGGGTGTACATAGAATATGATTTCTCATGTTTGGAATAAAATATTTTGTCATAAAGACATGAATTAGTGTTTCTGCTCTTCTTTTGGTTGTGTGGCCTTGGGTGAGTCCCCTAACCTGCTTCTATTACTTATAAAATAGCATTAGACAAGATTATGAAAATTAGGAGACATGACGTTAAAGTCTGTGTAAAATACACAATTGCCATGACTTAAGCCTTAAAAATTCTCAACCTTTTCCCACCAAATTCCTAAGATTCGAGTGTCACCTAAACCTCAACAAAAGCAAATAGACTAATAAAAACAGAATAATAGCTCAGTGGCACAGTACCTGCCTGGCAATTGCAGTCAACCCCGGTTCAAAAAAAAATTTAAAAAGCAAAAAAATTTAAAAGTCACTGACAAAGTCACTCAGTGTTTTGGAGATGTGTTAAAATTCAATGAGAGATAAGCAAAATTCTCCAGAAATATTTTGTTGATCCAATTTTCTCCTTTAACAGCTATCATAAACCAAACCTTACATGGTATCTCAGTAAGTGCTTACTAGGGAAACAGATTTAATACAAATACATACAAATTTAAGTCACTGGCACAGTCAGGAGTGGGAACATACAAAAAGGGCTGTCTGTGCACTGGTGATGGGAAGGATCTGGTCCAAGACCTGGAGCTCACTGTAGTGTCCTATGAGAATCCAAATCAGAAGGCCAAAGGGCTCATCAAGAACCTGAAGAGTCCTTTGGAAGCCAGGTGACTTAAATCCAAAGTGAAGGTGAAGATTGGAATTCCTCCAATAAATAAAGAAATAAATAAATAGCAAAAGCCAGCAAAGATGGGTCTTCTGTCTTCAGGAAATCCCTTCAGCCTCACCTAGCACAATACTGATCCAGTTTCATTAGACATTTTTTATTCAAATTAACAGTTAACTCTCACATGTGAGTTACATTTAATTTACATACACATATTTATATTTATACATACATGTATTTCTGTATGTTTACCAGGGACCTGGCCAAGATCCCCAAACTCCCATATGAGTGTACAGTGAAGGCTTAAATAAGTGGCATGATTTTAGGGCTCCAGGAAGATCAAAACCCTCTAGCAGAGTTTGAGACTCTGGGTGCTGAGACAAAGAGCTTCTCTGGACAGCCCATATTTATTAGGTCCTCAAAAAAAGGAGATGGCTTTCTGAGGAAAGGGCAGGATCTGAGCAGGACCTAAAGAGTCACTTTAATGACTTTTTAAAGTGGTAGTTTATGTTAATTTAAAAGAATTACTTTATCTCCAAGATAAGATTTGTGATAGGAAATAGCCTGTGGCTGTTGTCTCTGTCTTGTTAATTGGGGTTGGAGTCAGGTGTCCTCAGCTGTGGCCTTATCTTGCCCTTTGAGGATCCATTGTTCTCAGGTTGGCCATGCCCTGGCCATTCCACAGCCTCGTGTGTTTAATTTTTAGCTTTAATGGCAACCAACCTATGTTCACAAGAATATCACCCTCAAAGGATCCTGATAACCAAAAGTAAGGAACCCATTCCTCATTGTGTGTGTGTGTGTGTGTGTGTCGCAGGGGATAGCAGGAATCAAACTCAGGATTTCATACTTGTGGGGCAGAAGCCACTGAACTCTATCCCTGGCTCCTAGGAACTCATTTCTTACCTAATTTTCTTGAGCAGCCAAAACAACTTTGCTTGGAACATGTAGCCACTAAATTCCATTACTATGGGCAGGAGATTGAATGGTATAGGTGCAATAAATGGGATTATTTTTCTTCCTCCTCCTCTGACCCCTCCTCCTTTTTCCCTTCCTTCTTTTCAAATTTAAATTTTTAAATTCTCTTAATTATCTAAAAGGATAACAGAGTATATCCAGAGGGGGAAATAGGGTTTTGTTTTTTAGGACACCTTGGCCTTTCCTGGCAAACCGCTCCACATTCTGGGAGCCTGCCCCTTGGCCCTCGGGCTGTCAGGTGAACCCACTGCCTTTCTGTGGGTGGCGAACTCTGCAGTGGGAGCCACCAGTCCCACCTAAGGTGGTAGACAAAGCTGCCGTCCTGCTGTGTTCTCCAAGGCTGGCCTGAGAGGTCTGGACGTGGCCTACCTGCCCATGGCTCCAGAGCCTCTTCCCCTGCCTAGGAGTGGATCCTAGCTGCCCTTTCCTGTCCCACCCACAGGAGGAGGAACCGCAAGCTGCCCCTTTTGGCTCCAATCTGAAGCAGCAGCATCCAAAGACCATACAGACACCATCAGGACCCCTAACTCCCAGATTCCTCCCTCTGAGTGGCTTTGTATGGCTTTCTTCTGTAAGTAAACTTACTTTCACTTTGCACCACTCTCAGCCTGGGTTCCTTGTCCTACATTCTCTAACAGTGGAATTCAACTCTTACATTCTTTTAGGTGTCTCTCAGTCCCACAAAGCTCTCTTTTCTTCATACAGTATTAGGTTTTTCAACATTTTGAGAGTGAATCTATGTTTACTTGATAGTACTATTCTCATTCAGCCTACTGGGGTTGGTTTTATTTCACATCTAAAACTTTCTCAGCCTTTATTAAGTGTACAGCTCCCTCAGAATCACTGGTCCTGTAACAGTGCAGAAGCTAAGAGGGGGCTCTGCGCTTGCTGAGACAGGAGACACATTCCAGGTTGGACGGGAAGAAAGGAGAGGTTGCTGGAGGACATTAGAAGGAATTAGAAGGTCTGTCCCGAGCTGAGGAATGTTGGAGACCACTATGAAGCAGCTATGAGCAGGATTTAAATTTTACTAATTGGCTTTCTATGTGTATCTGTGAGTCTGTCTGAGGCCTCAGTCCCTTGCCTGGCTACGGGAGCTGATTCATAGTAAGTGAGCCTCTATGAATCACTGGTTCTGGCTGAGGCCTGTAGTGTCCTGTGAGGCCAGAGATACCTCAAAGGGCAAGATAAGGCCTAAGCCGAAGACACTTTGGCTCCAACACTGATTAAATAAACAGAGACTGCAATTGAAGGAATCTCATTCCTTGCAGTCCCACTCCTACCTTAAATGTCATCCTGGAGAAAAGACGGTTCTCCTAAATTGGCATCATCTACTACTTGGAGAAGTCTTTGAAATAACTCCTAAGGTCCTGCTCATTGCCTGTGCTTTCCTCAGTTTCCCTGTCCCTTGTTGTTCAGCCTAATAAATATGGGTGATCCAGAGAAGTCTTTGTCTTAACCCCCAGAATCTCGAGCTCAGCTAAAGGGTTTTGAGC